TGTGGGATCTTCCCGGACCGGGGCATGAACCCGTGTCCCCTGCTTTGGCAGGCGGACTCTCAACCGCTGCGCCACCATGAAAGCCCCAGCCCCACTTTTCGTCCTCATCCTGAGCCTGGTCCTGTGACCACTCTAGGGACCAAACAGGCATCCCTGGAGAGGCTTTGGAGATCTGCGGTCAGCTGAACCTTGCCCGGCTTCTCTGGGTCTGCGCCTATATGTGACCCCTTACCAAGCCCTCCAGACCCTTCCCTGGACCCTTCTTTTGTCCTCTCAGGCCTAGAGATGGGCCAGCATCTGGTGGCCAGGGCACAGGTGCACGCTTGGTGCCCTCGGTGTCCCTCTGCCTCCCGGGAGAGCATCCTGGGCAGACTTCCCAACACAGGATTCCAAGGCCAGAGAGGTGATGGGTGCTGCTTGTTCCACCCCAGATGCAGCAACAGCAGCAGCAACAACTACAACGGATGGCACAGCTGCAGCTGCAGCAACAGCAACAGCAGCAGCAGCAGCAGCAGCAGGCTTTGCAGGCCCAGCCGCCAATACAGCAGCCCCCAATGCAGCAGCCACAGCCTCCCCCCTCACAGGCCCTGCCCCAGCAGCTGCAGCAGCTGCATCACCCGCAGCACCACCAGCCACCACCGCAGCCCCAGCCGCCGGTGGCCCAGAACCAGCCATCGCAGCTCCCGCCTCAGTCACAGACACAGCCTTTGGTGTCGCAGGCTCCGGCCCTCCCCGGACAGATGCTGTATGCCCAGCCGCAGCTGAAACTCGTGAGTACCCAGGGCTCGCACAGCCGGGGCTCTTCTGGCGTCTCCTGTGCTGTCGGCGGTCTCTGGGACACCCTGGCTGTAGATGGAAGGTCCTCTTCTTCCAGCACCAGGACTCAGGTGGCCCTGGCCCCTGCCGGCCCGCACATCCAGATCAGCAAGGGTGCGTGCATTCCGCCAGCTGCTGCATCCAGTGTGCGACACCCCTGCTCCCGGGTGGCACCTTGTCTTCCGAGCAGCATGGCTGATTCAGTGGTAGCCACAGGCATTGTAAGATTGTGGATGATTAGATGGATGGCAACATCTATCTTCTCACTGTTGGGGGGGGCAGTGTACCACCTCCCCTGGGCGTCCACGGTGGTCTGCTGACCACTCAGTTCTGTTCTGAGCAGAGATCATGACCATATTTTTGAGGGGGGTATTGATGTAAAACACTGTTATTTTCAGTCTTATGCATCTGTGTAAAAGCAGAACCAGTCAGTGACATTTACATGAAAGACAAAATATTGTACTGAGTCAAGGGTAGCTGTGTCAAGGGGCCATTTAAATGTTTTTTCAACTCACTTCCTTGGTTTTTGTGGCCTTTTCTATTTGCTGTTCATTGGGTGAAGTGGGGATATGGGCCACACCTGAATCGAGTAGTGGCTGAATAGTAAGCCCCACAGGTGCAGGCTGGAGGTCTGGGGAGGGTCTTGAGAAGGGTCACACCTGTCACCTGGTTTCCTTTGAGGAGTCAGGGCTCAGAGTGGGGTTCTCGTAGACCATCAGCGTGCTCTGCTTGCTGCGGTAGCTGGTGGTGACGGTTGTGTGGTGGTGTCCCATTGGGGCAGGCGTCTCGCCAGGAGAGACAGGGCTCAGCTGTGCTGACTCAGAGCCAGGCTGGCGTGGACACTTTTGATGAGCCGTGGGATAAGGGACAGCCAGTAGCGGGACATCAGCCAGGGAAGTGGTGGCAAGCCCATCCCCCTTCTCAAGGAGAGCTTAGAGACTCCGGCTCCCACAGACAGACGTGGAGGTGCTCTGCCCTGTGCCCTGGTGGCTCCAGATTGCTGCTCCCTTCCTCCTCAGGTCCGGGCTCCGATGGTGGTGCAGCAGCCGCAGGTGCAGCCCCAGGTGCCGCAGGTGCAGCCCCAGGTGCCACCGCAGACAGCAGTGCCGACGGCTCAGGCCTCCCAGATAGTGGGTCCTGGAGTCCAGGTGAGGGCCCAGAGCCAAGGCTCTGGAGGCGCCGGCCAGTGCATATCCCCCGCGCTATGGTGAGGGTCCTGGTTGGATCAGGGCCTGTCCCTGGGGACCTTGGGTGAAACCCCGCTCGGCCGTGTCTGGGCCCCTGGCTTCACAGGGCACAGGCTGTTCCCACCTCCCGTGATGCCCCACATCTTCCCTCTTCCCTTCTCCTCCAAGAGGGCATTGGTGAGAGCATCACGATCTCTTCTTGCCTCAGCCCTGAGCATGGGGCTGGGGGGATAGTAGCTCTCTAGAAACTGGGAAGAGCACAAGGACGGTGGCATGTGGCTCTGGTGGTCAGCACAGACTTGTGCCATGGCCCCTTGCCCTGCTGACTTGCAGGGCTCACCCCTGTGTGGCACGTGTGGCACATGTGGCCCAGGTCCACCATGCCCACCCTCCGCAAATCGGATGTCGATGGGATGGAGAAGATCTCCCGGCCTTGCCTAGTAGAGGCCACAGCCTCCTTGGTGTCTGGGGTGGGAGGTTGGGCCTCATGAGTTCTCCATAGACGCTCCCCTCACCTATGTCCAGTCCCCGGCCTTGGTTCCTCCTGTCTCCACCCAGCAGTGGCAACACTGATAGTCTGGCTCAGAAGAGTGTTGGCTTTAGACAGAGCCGATGTGCTACTTGATGTGGTGAGACCCCAGGGGCGACCCGGCCACCCCGGTGCTGTGTGGCACTGGGCTGCCATGCCGAGTGTCCCTGCCAGCTCCTGCCCTGCTCACTCCCCGAGTCCATTGAGCTCCCTGTCTGGGGCACTGGACCGTGTGGTAAGCACTGCTGGGATGCCGTGTGTTCCCTTAGCATTGGCGGGAGGCTCAGAAATGGTCCTTCCTGGTCCCCGCCACATGGCTGGAGTCCGTGGGAAACACACCGCTGGGGGGAACTGTGGCGTTTGGAGGTAGCTCTTGGTCACTGCACCACATCACCAGCTTGCCCACCTGTGGTATTATGTGCAACAAACCACGGACATCATGTCTGTAGCTGGGGCAGGGCTGGAGGCCTTGTATGACAATGTTGGCGTCCTCCTCTGCCACCACCCTGTGTGTCCCAGCCTCGTCCCCAGGCCTCCTGGGGCTCTCTGCTCTCGGTGTCCTGTGCGGAGTGTGGTCAGAGTTGGGATGGCGGCAGCGGCATGGAGTGACCACCCAGCCGGTGGAAGCCGCTGCCCTTGCTGCCTCTCAGGTCTGGTAGGAGAGTGGGAGGCTTGGCCCTCTGACCTGGCAGCTTCCATCCTGAAGCAGAACTTCCCTTTTCACCCCAGTTCTTGGTGTTTGGGAAGCGAGCAGCCGAAGAGTTGCCGTCTTCCAATGGTCCAGGCCCCACCTGCTGGTTCGTAGGCTTCTCGCTTGGGTAGGTGGACTCCCTGCAGCTTCCTGGGCGCCCATCACTCTCCTGCAGTGGCCGAGGGGGATGCGCTCCATTCCCCATGCCGACCCCTTGGCTGTGCTTCCCTTCCTGGTAGTCACATGCCTTTGCTTCTGCTGGAGGTCCCAGTCCAGCCCGCGTGGGGCTTGGCCGTGGGCTTGGTCACCTTGAGGGTAACCTTGATTTGTAACCTTCTGCCCCCTCGTGGAGCACGGAGGGCTGACAGCCGGCAGGGCTGAGGCAGGCGTGGGCTCTTCTCCCCAGGTGGGGACTCGGGTAGCTGGGTGGGGAGGAGGCGCCACCACTCATACCTGCGAGTGGGTTTGGTTTTCTGAGGATGTACCTTCAGGGTTTATGGGAGGGGTGTCCACCCCCTCCTGAGTGAGAGGCCAGCCTTGGGCAGAGTGGAAGTGAGGCCTCACCCTGCCTGCGGGGCCGCACTGTGGGTTCCCAGGTCTGGCGCAGGTATGTGTGGGGTGCTCGTGCAGGTCCCTGGGGGCCAGTTGGCTGCCTTACTGTGTGGTTCTACCAGCAGTGGGGTTCCCAGGGTGCGAGGAGACCCCTGAGGGAGAATCTCTGGATTCACAGCCTTTTTTTGCAACCTCGGTGGCAACAGTGGACAAGACAAGGCTACAGATATTCTGACCCCAAAACTAGAAAACAGGTGGTGGCTGTAGAAGGTGGGAGAGGTTGAGGGGAGTATAAGCAAGGGAAGCATTTCAAGCGGGAGAGCCTGCTTGGCTTCTTTTCTTTCCGGTTCTCTAGGATTTTGTGTGTGGCTTCTTTCTTTTTCACGTTACAATAGAAGTAAAAGGTTGTCTTGTAATTAGAGTCCCTTGGTCAATGTTGCCTTCCGTGGCTGTGCGCTGTTCCTCTTATGAACGTATCCTGCTGTCCTTAATTATTGTCTTGTTCTCGGATCCTGAGGTTACTTCTGGTTTTTTGCTGTTAGTCGTGGTGCATGGCAGGTCCTGGACTGTTTGCTGACATTTCCCAGAGTGACTCACGGGGGGCATTTTGAGGCTCTCGATCGTACCAGCTGGTCACCTACCAGGAGGTCGACACATACGTGCGGGGCCCACGCATTTGACCTCAGAACGCGGGGTCCAGTGTTGCAGTGTGTGAAAGAGGTGCTGGGATGGGGGCCCAGGTGGCGGCCCCCAGGCCTGGTCTCTCAAGTCTGCCCTCTCAGAGCAGAGGAGGGGGGCCTCATTGTGCGCTTGGTGGTGCTGGGGCCTGATGGGTGGTGGGGCTCACAGCCCAGGCTGGAGTTTGGGATTTGAGTGTTTCAGGAAAATCAGTGAACACTGTTCTGTATGCCTGGCTCTGACATTAACTCGTGTAGATGAGAGAGATGTCCCCGTCACATCCCTGTCCAGCAGGGTGCTGGACTAGGACTCAGCGGGAGAGCCACACCCCATGATGGCAGGTGAAAACCAGGACAGGATGCGTCTCCATTTCCCAGCAGCCCCTGTGCTTTGGTCTTCCTGCTTCCTATTCTTCCAGCATTCGGAAGCTTAGCTGTCATTCTCACGTTACAGACCCCCTTCCCTGATGTGTGTGTGTGGAACAGTGTGTGGAATGGGCTGAGCACACCCTGCGCCCCCTCCTCTCCCACTGGGCCCTCCACCATGGCTGCTCGGGGCCTCCCTGGGTGGGTGTGTGTTGGGAGGAGGAGTCGTGGCCTGGCTCGTCCAATACTGTAGACGTCTGGTGTGTCTCGTTAGGATCTGTGGTCAAGAGAAAACCAGCTTTCCACCTCGGGAGCTCTGTGCCAGAAAACCAGTCCGCAGAGATCAGAGTCAAGCTTTTCATTCCTGATGACTTTGTTTCTTCTGGGAAGAAATAGCGCCTCTTTCACACCACCTGAGTGCTTCTGGGCCTCTCTTGCTCTGGAAGGAGCACTGTTGAGCTGCCACGGGGCTCACAGCTGGGCACCTCGAAGTGCAGGGTGGCGCCAGCCAGCCGTGGCCTTTGGGTGCTATCAGCCACACCCCAGGTGCAGGCAGGGGAGCCCAGCACAAAGCGTGCTCCACGCACTGACATCCCACTTAGCATCTGGTAGGGTGGGTGGTGGGCTCTTCAGGCAGCGCTCGAGTTTCGACAGACAACAGGAGAACGGCTTCCTGGCCCACACCCTGGAAGTTCTTTTGTTGGTGTGGCTGCAGGACTGTCCACTCCCAGCTCTGCATGAGGGCTGCCTCGCACCCACAGCTATTGCTGGGGTCATGTTGGCATCTGCTACTGTCTGGGTCACCCCTGGCTTGCAGTGCCTGCTGCATGCGACCTGTTGGTGAGTGTGGGGCACGCCTGTGATGCCAGGGGTCTCCCCGCAGACCTTTCTCCTGCCTTGGAGCCCTGCCCTGGCAGACTGCGTGGACGTCAGCACCGCCCTAGCCTCACAGATCAGCTCATCCTCCTGGGGTAGATGTTTTGTTTCCCATGGATCACCCTGCCTCCTTTCAGAACCTGGCTGGGTTGTTTTCATTTAGTTTCATCATCACATTGTGAACACGTGCAGGCCCTGCTCCAGTGCCATGTCCAGCCTCGGTGTGCAGAGTGAGGGGGGCAGGCTAGAGTCAGTCTGCAGAATTGGGCGGGCTGGGAATGGAGGGTGGGATGTGAGCTGGGCTCCAGGAAGCAGGCTCCGGAGGTGATGCTCAGTGCACAGGAGGTTGCTGGGGTGTGGGGGAAGCTCTGAGTGAAGCTGACAGGGCCTTTGGGGTGGCCCCTGTGTGGCAAGCGGCTGGGCCTTTGTGCACTGTCCGCAAGCTCTGGGCAAGGCTGCTCTGCAGGGCTCATTCCGGGGCCGCTGGGCACAGGGCTGGCGGGCAGCTGTCTCCCCGAGCTGTTCGCGCTGCCAGAACTGGCATCTTGTGCCTCTCGGGTGGAAAGTAGTTACTTCCACACACCGTCGATCTTAGTCCTGGGTGTGTGATTTCCTCCCTCCGCGTTCTCGGATGAATATGGCATTGTCCTAGTGATGACAGCGGGATGGGGACCCCACTGTGTCCGCCCTGACGAGGACTGCAGGGAGAGCCTGCTGTGCAGAGAAGGGAGCACGATGCCAAGCCGCTCCCCTCTCCCCTCTCCCAGTGGGGTCTGCTGGTCCCACAGGGGCTGCTCGGCTGCCAGACCACAGAACCCCAGGCCAGGTGTGCTGGCAGGGGTGACAAGGGGAGGCTTTGCTCCTGTCAGGCAGGCACAGGTGGGACACAGAACAAGATGGAGGCGTCCCCACTGCCCTGCAGCTGGGCTTGACCTTGGTGCTGTCAGAGCTGGGGCTGCCTGTGGCCTGAGGGGTCTTGTTGAGGTTTGTGGGACGGTCCTGCCTGTCATAGAGCGCAGCCCTCACTGCCCTCCCATGCCCACAGGCTCCCACACTCACGAGGCAGGGACCTGGGGGTGTCCCATCGCAGCCCAGAAGCCCCCGCCGGGAGCAGAGGGCCACCCAGCCCGGCCCTTCTGCCAGCGTCTTGGTCACTGTGTGCTTGCGTGGGCACCCATGGGTGGGGGGGTGTGCCCATGTTTGTATTTGAGAGGCGGGGCATCAGAGGAAGACCAGGGTGTGTGGCGAGGCTGCCAGAGAGAAGGGGCTTGTGAGTGGGGAGTGGTGGGGGGGGGGCGTGGGGCAGGTGAGCAGGCTGAGCCCCTCCCCCTCCAGGTCAGCCAGAGTGGCCTCACCATGCTGTCGTCACCGTCGCCGGGCCAGCAGGTGCAGACCCCGCAGTCGATGCCCCCTCCCCCCCAGCCGTCCCCGCAGCCCGGCCCACCCAGCTCACAGCCCAACTCCAACGTCAGGTAGGCCCGGCCCGTGCCCCTCCCCACTTGGCTTGCAGGCCCAGGCTCATGGCCGCGCTCCCTTTCGCTCTGCACAGCTCCGGCCCTGCCCCGTCCCCCAGCAGCTTCCTGCCCAGCCCTTCGCCGCAGCCCTCCCAGAGTCCGGTGACGGCGCGCACCCCGCAGAACTTCAGCGTCCCCTCCCCAGGACCTTTGAACACGCCTGGTAAGTCGGACCCAAGGCGGGCACAGTCCGGGGCCCTGCGAGGTGAGGGGCTGACGACCCTTCGTGGGCTGGGGCCGTGCTCACTGGGCCGTGTCCCGCAGTGAACCCCAGCTCCGTCATGAGCCCCGCGGGCTCGAGCCAGGCCGAGGAGCAGCAGTACCTGGACAAGCTGAAGCAGCTGTCCAAGTACATCGAGCCCCTGCGCCGTATGATCAACAAGATCGACAAGAACGAAGGTGGGGGCCGGGCGGGCGGGCCGGGGGCAGGGCCTACAGACGCCCAGGCCCTTGTCTGAGTGCCTCCTTCTGCCCCAGACAGAAAAAAGGACCTGAGTAAGATGAAGAGCCTTCTGGACATACTGACAGACCCCTCCAAGCGGTGAGCTTTGCCCCTAGGCCCATGGGGGGAGGATGGTGCTCAGCCCACACCTCACAGAGGGTCCCCAGCTGCTTGGCTGGCCTACCCTGTGGCCCTCAGAGCCCTGCCTCACTGGGCTGCTGGCCTTGATGGGCTTCAGTCTGACCTGCAGCCCTGCCCCTGATTTGCTGGTGGCCTTGGGCAAGTGACTGTTTCTTAGTTACCCCATCTGCAAAAGGGGCAGCTGAGCTCGAAAGCGCTGGCTGTGGGAGGGAACTGGGACGGCGTCTGAGAAGCACTTGGAAGGCAGAGGACACGCACTCATGTCCTTTCCCTTGCCCACTGGCCGTGGGGCTGCTGAGCACCAGAGCTCAGCCAGCGCCACCTCCTGTGCAAGGACTGGCCTTGGGATTCCTGCCCTCTCCCCAGGCCTTGGCTCAGGCCAGGCTCCCCTTCCAGAACGTCCTCCCTGTTCCACTCATCTGGGCAGAATGCTGGGCACTGAGGAGTGGGCCTGTTGGCGGTAGACGGCCCTCCAGGCCCTCATTGGGGTCATCGGGATGGGGGGCAGGGACCTGGCCTCTGTCTTTCCCCTTGATCCATCACATGCGTGCCTTGTTCTGCCAGTCAGGACCAGCAGCTCCTGGGTGCGGGGCCATCTTTCCTTAGACTCTGGGTCTGGGAACAGCGGGTGGGCTGGCTGGGGTTCCTGGGGAGGGTTCTGGTGGCCCAGGCCTCAGGTCTCGCTCCATCCAGAGGAGGCCAGACGGTCAGTGGTTGGGATGAGAACATGAGAGCTGCCGGCTCCCCTGTCCTCCCACGTGGAGAGTCAGCCACATCTTCTCCCCTATAGGTGCCCTCTGAAAACGTTGCAGAAGTGTGAGATCGCCCTGGAGAAACTCAAGAATGACATGGCAGTGGTGCGTGGGGTGCTGTGGCCTGGTGGTGTTGGTAGGGTCGCAGGCATCTCTGGGGAGGTCAGGGCTCACCGCACAGTGACTCGGAACCACGAGCTAGAAGGAGCCTGCAGTCAGAGGTGGGCAGGAGACCGTGCTGCTCAGTCTGGGGACCCTGCCCAGGAGTCCTCTTCCAGGTCAGGTCTGCAGTGTGGGTGGGGTGAGAACATGGGAGAAATCAGCCTCTGGGTGCGGGCCCATGGGTGCTTCCTTTCCCCACAGGTGTGAGGGTTCTCATGCCCAAGGCCAGGCCCAGGGGGAGTAGAGTGTGTCCAGGGTCAGCCATCCTTGTCTGCAGGGCTGGAGGTGGTGGGGGAGCCAGGAGGTCTGGCTGTGAGTGAGGATGAGGACCTGGGGTCTGGAAAGCCGCCCCAAGAGTGGGCTGCTGACCCTGCTGTCCTGTCCCAGCCCACGCCCCCACCTCCCCCGGTGCCGCCAACCAAGCAGCAGTACCTGTGCCAGCCACTCCTGGATGCCGTCCTGGCCAATATTCGCTCACCTGTCTTCAACCATTCCCTGTACCGCACGTTCGTGCCTGCCATGACGGCCATACACGGCCCCCCCATCACGTGCGTACTGCCCAGGGCTTGGTGGGCGGTGGGTCCTGGGCCATGGCCTGGCCAGTGTGGTCAACACGGCTGCCTCCCCCAGGGCCCCGGTGGTTTGCACCCGGAAGCGTAGGTTTGAAGAGGACGAACGGCAGAGCATCCCCAATGTGCTCCAGGGGGAGGTGGCCCGGCTAGACCCCAAGTTCCTGGTGAACTTGGACCCTTCTCACTGCAGTAACAACGGCACCGTCCACCTGATATGCAAGCTGGGTGAGTGCCGGGGGTGGGGTAGATCAAGAATGAACCGTGACTGGCAGCCTCAGGCTCTGCCACTGCCCAGGACCACCTGCTCATCCCCAAGCCCCGGGCCCTCTCTGGAGCCTGCCCGCTGTCCTCCTTGGTCCCTACATGCTCCTGGCCCAGGACTCGCACTGGGGGCTGGGCCCTGAGCCTGCACACTCTCACCTCTCCCCCACGTGCAGGGAAGCCCCCTCCCTCCTGTCCAGCTGCGACTCTGCTCACCTGAGGCCCTGGGGAGACGGGGAAGCTCGGGAGTCAGGGGCCTCGGCTCTGCAGCAGCCTCACCAGAACCTCTGGGGCCTGGAGGGTGCTGTTGGGGAGCAGGGCTATGAGGAGGGGCAAGCCTGGTCACAGGTGCGGCCTTGTGTGTTGCAGATGACAAGGACCTCCCCAGCGTGCCACCGCTGGAGCTCAGCGTGCCTGCCGACTACCCTGCCCAGAGCCCACTGTGGATCGACCGGCAGTGGCAGTACGGTGGGTGACTGAGAGGACGGGCCACCAGGCTTTCCTCCATGTGCCCCTGCCCTGCTGAGGCCCCCTCTTCCCCTTCCTCCTTGGTGGGCAGGAGCAGATTGCCCCTCAGTCACATGGAAAGAGAAGTGTCTCTGACCCCATGGTGTCCCTGCAGCTCCGGGGCAGCCGTGTTCCGGGGATGAGGGGTGAGCAGGCCCAGTGGCTCCTGTGGGCCTCTTCAAGGCTGACCGGGGGGCACACATGGGAGCTTGGGCTCATGGGGACCCATCTGGGTGACAGGCCCAGAGAGAACCTCGGTGATGGGAGACAGTCCCCCCGAGGCTCAGAGCTGGCATGTAGAGGACCAGGACAGGGGCCCCGAGGCCGTCCCTGAGGCTCCAGACCATTTTGTTCCAGCTTTCCACTGGCATGCGGAGTTGGCACCCCTGGTCCCTGGGCTGGGTGGGGCGGGCCAGGGTCCTGGCAGAGAACACAGCGCTCATGGCCGGCCGCTCTGCTGCAGACGCCAACCCCTTCCTGCAGTCGGTGCACCGGTGCATGACCTCGCGACTGCTGCAGCTCCCTGACAAGCACTCGGTCACGGCCCTGCTCAACACCTGGGCCCAGAGCATCCACCAGGCCTGCCTCTCGGCCGCCTAGCCGCCACCGCCACTGCATCTCCGGCTGCCTGCCCTCCAGGGACCGTGGGGCAACCGGCAGCCTCGTCGGGGCCCCGTGTCGGACATTTCTAGATGCTGGCTTCCTTAGAGAGCTTGGGCTTAGGTTAGCTTTCCTGCTTTTATCTTCTGCCTTGGGGACCCGCCAAACATTTCCCACACTTGGACAGGACTGGGACAGGCAGCTGGCTGCTTCCTCCAGGAGCCAGGCACGCCTCCAGCCCTGTGCTCCTCAGGCTACTATCCCCGCAGCCTCTGCAGGGCCCGTGTCCTTCCTCGGGAACTCAGGATCCTGTGTGAGCCTCTTGCGTGTGCGCCAGAAAGCTCTTCTACCGTTTCCATAGGAGAACGTGCAGGACATAGGAAACCCTTAAAACATGCAGAATTCCCTGATCACGGTTTTGGGTTGAGATCGTGCCACCGTTGGCATGTGGGGCACGCCACAGGGAAGCTCCAGGATCCGGGGGCGCTGACTGCAGCTCGAGGGAAGGTCTGTTTGTGGCTGTGGGTCCCCGGCCACCGGCTGGGCCTCATACCTCATGATCCTTCTCATTCTAGCCCTGGGAGTCTGCTCAGCACTGTGGAGGCACCCGGGAGCAGGGGTGTCTGGGTGGATCTTGTTCCTGGCGCCGTGCCCACTGGTTAGGCACTTAGGCCCACTCGGGTTAGGATGTTGTCCTTGGGACCCAGCGTCTTAAGAACCCTTCAGACAGTTGAGGGCTCCTGACGGGGTGCCAGCCGGCTCTCTGGCGATGAGAGGTTCCCCCCTTTTGTATGTGCATTACCGTGTCTTCTGTGGTTCTTATAATAAATTTATTATTCCTGTGTTTGTCATGAGTTTGTCACTGTGTCCCCCCTCTCTACAAGTCAGGGGCCCTCCATCCAGTGAAGGGCACTGTCAGGGCTGAGCCAGGTCCCCCACCTCGGGGATGGCCACCGATGCCCAGACGTGCCTGTCCTGGTTCACCCCCAGGTTCCCTGCTCCCCAAAGCAGAAGCGGCAGAGATCGGCACTGAGGACATGGCCGGTTGGGCCAGGAGGACTGTCCTGCCAGGCAAGGGTCTGCGCTGAAGCTGCTGTTCTGGCGATTGAGGGGGTGGTGTGAGGCCATTGCAGGGTGGGGCCCAGTGTACAGGAGAGGACCTTCTCCCGTGGCTCTAGCCGTCCATGGAGGAAGGCAGTCTGGGTGGGGCCGCTCACTAGCTGTGTTCGTCAGTGGACACAGGACAGTGTCTTGCCTACATGCCGGGAAGGCAGCCCCCTGCACTCCAGGAAGAGTGTGCAGGCTGTCCCGGAGCTTGTTTTCTTACAGGGCAGCCGCAAGGCCCTAGCAAGCAGGGTGACTGCCCAGCAGGCCCTGCCCATGGCAGGGAGCAGAGCTAGGGGCGCTCAGGGCAGCAGTGCCTGATGGCCAGTGAGGAACAAGACTCACAACAGGGAGAAACGAGCTTTATTTCCAGTCTTCGACAGGTAGGCTCATGCTTATTTCATAATGCACACGTGTGTGTAAGTGCAGAAATACCGAGCAAAGAAATAAACAGTTCCTCAGCCCTGAGACCACGTGCTTTATCTGCCGTGGGTTTGGCTGGTCTGGAAGTTAGGCTGGTGTAAACGTACTAGGATTCTTCGGAAGTGCTACCTAGAGGGTGAGCGGTCATGGGTCTGGCACTCAGAGTACCGAGTAGTGCAGCCACCGGCTCTGCACCGCCTGCAGCCGTCTCTGCCGCTCGGCGAAGTTGCTCTTGAGGCTCTGCTTCAGTGCGGGCAGGATGGCGCACTCCGCCACAGGCGCCTGGCTCAGGATCAGTCTGGGGGACGGGGGTGGGGGGTCACTGCGGACGCCCTCCCCGGCCCTGTGGCCCCTGGGCTCAGAGGCTGCCTACCTCCTGTGCCAGTAAGACTCACCATTTCTTAGAGACGCCCTTGGTGGCGACCTTGGGGAGCAGCATGGCCCCCGGGTGCAGAGCCTCCTGGTCCCTGGGGAGGGACGAGTCAGCCGTGAGCCCCAGACAAGCAGGCCCTGTTGTGACCCAGTGGGCCGCATGGGGCACTTACTTGGGAGAACTGGGCCCGGCCTCCTCGAGGGCAGCCCTGTGTCTCTGGCTCCTTTCTAGGAGGGACTTGAGGTGTTGCAGCTGGAAGGCAGGGAGAAGAGACACGGTGGGTGGGGCTGCGGGGGCCCCGGGGTGCCCTGCAGCCGAGCCTCACCTCTTGGGCCTGCAGGAGGTTGGCATTCCACAGCTGGCAGATGACCACTTCGCACTGCTGGAGTGTGGCGGGCTTGCACAGGTGCAGGGGCAGTCTCATCGCGGGGGGGCACCCCTGGCACCTGCTTGCCCTTGTGCAGGCTGCCGGCCACCGAGGTGGCTGCTGGATTAGAGCTCTCCACTTTGTCTCTGAAACAGCCATTAGAGCAGACCAGAGGCGGCCTACCGGAGGTGATCTCTCACACCCCCTCTCGGGGCAGCACCTGCTCCAGCGTGAGTAAGAGGGTCATCTCCACGGCCTCCTGGGGGCCTGGCTCCCTTCCGCCTACCAGGGTGCTCCAGGCACCAGGTGGCGGGGGTGGGTCTCTGGGGCTGGCTCTGACCCGGGCCCGTCACTTCCTCCCCCCTCAAGGTACACTGAAGAGTCAGATGTGGTTTGAGCTGCCTGGCTGCCCTCAGTCCTGACCACAAACCCAGGGTGCTGGTGGAGGGGGGAGCCTAAAGACTGCAGAGAAGCAGGAGCCTGGCTTGCTGGTGGCACTACCCAGGGGACAACAGGGTCCCTTCTTCGGATGCAAAGTCCAGGCTCACTGCTGCTTCCCAGGAAGTCCCAGGAACTCGGGTGTCACCGGGGACTGGTCCTGCTCTGGTCTGCTGGCCCTGTGCCTTCCAGAGGCCAGCACAGCTCCCAGGGTGGAGCCCAAACCTGACTCACGGTTCTCTTGGCAAAAAGCAAGCTAATGTGGAGGCCAAGTTACTTTGTTTCTGTGCTTTGAGAGAATGCCTTAGCGGCTGCTGCTGGCCCCTCTTGCGGGCTCAGGTCAGCGCAGGGACCGTGCAGGACCCCCAGGGGAGAGGAGAAGGCAGGGTCCGCCAGATGGGTAAGCCCGGCTTTCATGAGCTTGCTTCCCTCTGAAGACCTGCCCGTTTGGAAGGGCAAAGCAATTGGCTGGTTCCAGGGTGTGAACCTGCTGAATGCAACCCTGTCCCGTTGGGCTCACGGAGCCTTACTTGGCCAGCCCCTGTGCCCCGAGGGCTTTGTCCACCCTGCTGCTGTGAAGCAGGGCAGCAACCAAGGGCTCCTCCTCCAGGTCCAACTTCTGGGGAACGTCAGCTTTCGAGTCTTGCTTCTTAGAGGAGGTGCGCTGGGCCCTGGCCTTGCCTTGCGAGTTGGCTGAGGTTCAGACCCAGACAGGGCCAGTCACTGGGCATCAGTCAGCTGTATGCACCCAAGGGGCCCCACCCCTGCATCAGTTTCCTCTTTGTAAAGGGGAGATGGTAATGGCCTCCCTCTGAGGGCCGCTGGGAGGCACAGATGCAGGAGTAGGGTGAAGCCTGTGGGTGCCTAAATGTTCTGAAGCGGACGCAGTGGTGGAGGTGGCTCCCCGAGCAGCTGAAGTGGGGAGAGCCCCACACACCCCGTGGGGCAGTCTCCTCACGGGCCTCGGTAAAGGCCGGGGTGGGGTAGCCAGCAGCTGTTCCCTGACTCTGAACCCCATTTCGGGCAAAATGAAACGGAAGGAAAGGTCTGGGTGGCCCAGCCTGTGCAGGTCTGCTCTCCTGGGGTGAGGCCCCTCACTCAGCAAAAATGCCACAAATCCAGGCTCTGTAGGAGGGCCAGCCCACCCATGTCCTGTCTGCTCTGAGGGACACAGTGAGCAGCAATGAAGACCACTCGGGGCTCCTCTGTCACACGCTCTGCCTGACTCATGCCCCACACTGACCATCTTGCCTTGGCAGCCAAGCCTGTCCTGCTTTTGTGGCCTGTCCTCAGGCCTCCTTCCAGCCGACCCACTAACCTGTCCCCTGGCCTCAGCTCCCTCCTGGAGGTTTCAGCTCACAGGGCACCTGGGGACCCTCCTTGGTCCCTCAGCTACTCCTTAACCCCCAAGCCCATGGGGACTGGCAGAGGCGCTCTCCCGAGGTCTGCCCCACGGAGGACCACCGTGGGCTTTCAGCACTCGGCTCAGCACCCCACTTGCCGTTTCAGGCCCGGGGGCCCTGAGGTCTGTACCTGCTCTTCCCCGACCCTGAGCACAGAGGTGCTGGTGTGCTCACCTGACACCACTGTATTCGAGATGGACTTGTTGGACTGAAAGCTGGAACTGGAGATGCTGCCTGTGGGGGCTGCTTGGGGTCAGCAGAAGGTGGCAGCAATGAGGCTCCCATCCCTGCAGGTCCCAGCGCTTCTGCACGGCTGCCGTGGCTGAAGGTCCAGGCCCACCTGTGCCCGCCTCCTGGCTCTGCAGGTCCCAGCCCTCCCCCACACTCTGGTGAGGCAGCCCCAGTCACCGCCAGTGCCAGAGGGAGCCAGGGCCATGGGGCTGGGGACGGAAGAAGCAGTGGGACCTGAATGGGAGCACGCCCTCTCTCGAGGTCCCATCAGGGGACCCCTGACACTACGTGCCCACATCAGCTCGCTGGAGCTGTGCCACCCCACTGGAGAAGGGCCCTCACCACCCCATCCTCTGCGTATCTCCCAGGAAGAGAGCCCTGGGCACACCCCAGACTGGGGCATTCCAGGCGGGCACCACTCACCACTCAGACCACCTCCCGATGTCAGACCTGGTCCCAAAAGTAAGAGGGGAGGGGAGCCCAAAACTCGACCTGGTTGTTCCCAGGCTGGGCTAGGGGACAGGCAAGGTGAGTGGGCCACAGGTGATGATATGCCCCCATGGTTGCTGTGGAGATGATAGGGAGAACCCTGGAAGGAGTGTGCCCAGAGCTTCCTGCCCCAAGGCCAAAGGGACCAGGGGTTGGGGCTGGGGCTGTGCTGGGGAAGCCTGGGGCAGCAGTCCAAGTGAAAGCTCACCAGGATAGTGAGGCCAGGGCTGGGGAGGGGGGAACCTGGGCAGCCCCCTGCCCCCCAGCTGCTCTGTCCACTGCCCCTGCTGCACAGAACTCAGGCTTTGGGGTCCCCAAGAGTGGCACTTGCTGTGCTTGGGTGCATGAAGTCACCCAGACCATGGCTGGGAGTGGTCTGGCTGTCCAGGCCCCCTCCCCACTGGGATAATTCGCGTGGGCATAAGCAGTCTGGGGGGCCTGCTCTTGAGGGCAGTAACTTCCCATCAGGCACCTGTGGGCCTGTCTTACCTTTCTTCTGTGGCTTCTGATTCATGATTAGCTTGTAGTGGAGATCTGAAAACAAGCACGGGCCCTCCTCATGGCTACTCTGAGAAAAGAAGCTTCGCTTTCCCTGCCCACTCCTCCTTGCTGAGCCCCTGAGAGACCCTGCTCCATGGACCAAGCCTTTGCCTTGGCACCCTCGGGTCGGTGATGCCTCTGGCTGCTCCCTGAGCCAGAGCCCCTGTGTGAGAGCCTCTCCAGGAACCCATTCCTCCATCCGTGACGTCTACAGAGCAGTCTCTGTCATGCGGGGCCTGGGCTCCAGGGGGACAGAGGCGAGTCAGGATGACCCAGGTGTCAGGGATCGTTCTGGGGCCCCGGATCTGGGTGTGCTTAGTTTGTGAAAATTCATTAAGCTAGATACGCGTAATTTGGGGGTGTGTTTCACTTCTACAAGTTTTTCAAAGGAGGCCGCCTGACCCTGCCTGGAGAGGAGAGGCGGGCCGGGTTACCTTCGGGAATGGCGCGGCCAGACCCGCCCCCCGCAGTTGGCTTT